TGGTCTAAAACGAAGACCCTGTGGTCTAAAACGAAGACCCACTGGTCTAAAACGAAGACCCTGTGGTCTAAAACGAAGACCCACTGGTCTAAAACGAAGACCCTGTGGTCTAAAACGAAGACCCACTGGTCTAAAACGAAGACCCTGTGGTCTAAAACGAAGACCCTGTGGTCTAAAACGAAGACCCACTGGTCTAAAACGAAGGTTCACTGGTCTAAAACGAAGACGCATTGTTATAAAGCCCTTTACTTCGAGGAAAGGCTATACACTATGCTAAACTGCTGTCATTTCTGTAGCGCATAAATTAAAGTGTCATGCATCTGAGCGCGCGACCAACTTGACAGTTACGTTATCTCAGTCGGTACAACACGTGTCAAATTGTGCAACGCAATTAAATTTCATGAATATAGAAATAGAGTATACGTTTTAGTGACGATTTGTCGTCACCAATATTCTATTTTTTAAATGCATATGGAGCAAATTACGATAAGGTGACGTGACTTCATTACTTCGCTACACTGTTTTTATCACATAAAGGCGCAAAGGTCAACTGTGCGTGACTTGCAAATTTATTCCGCAACAGAGGCTATAAGGATGATCTCCCACCAAAATGTGATTTTCCCGGGAAGATTGAATCATCACTCTCACATGCATCCCTGCGTTGAGAATGTCGTTTTTTCGGCATTTCAAGCTCCCCAAAATCTTAAAAAAAAGCAGCAATCTACTGCGGAAAGTATCGCGAACATAAAATCCTTTAACTCAGTAACGCTCTGCAAGTTAAAAAGCGGCATTTGAAAAATCTAAAATGTAATTTTGGTGACGAGGAAATGTACCAAACTCGTCACTAAAACGTACATTTCGACACTCTTGGAATTTGACTGCGTTACCCAATTTGACACGTGCGCTCAGATGACATTTTAATTTATGCGCTACAGAAATTAAGGCAACTTATCTTAGTCAATATGGTTTTAGACCAGCGGGTATTCGTTTTAGACCACAGGGTCTTCGTTTTAGACCAGTAGGTCTTTGTTTTAGACCATAGAGTCTTCGTTTTGAACCGCAGGGTCTTCGTTTTAGACCAGTGGGTCTTCGGTCTTCATTTTTGGGTTTCCGTTTTCGACACGTCCCATCCAAAACCATCATTCATCAGGTACTACTTTCAAAAACAAGAGTGTCTGTTACTTCTCGGTGAAACTGTTGATTCTGAAAAATGAGAGGAGGTGACATTCTAACATTACATACTTATTGCTGCAATACTTATACTTATTGCTCCAATAACATTGAAGAGAATAGAAAAGAAGAAAAAGAAAAAGAAGGCAAAGAAGGAGAAATCTCAAAATGGTTTAGTGTAAGTTAGTTTGCCATTAGAAGACTTGGAAGAACTTTTTGGTAAAATACACTTCTATTTTGCATGTTCTTTCAGCCTTTGTTAATTTTCATTATTATTATTATTATTATTATTATTTTTTTTTATTATTATTTTCATTATTAATATTATTATTATTTTTACCAGTAACTCACCTTCAAGTGAAGGAGGGGATGTGGTCAGTTTTCACTTCACCGCGTGATATGTTATTATTTCTTTACCATGATACCATCAAACCCCCCCTCCCCCCCTAATATTTGGGTAAAGATCAGCAAAAGTCATTCAACTGTTGAAAAGTTATTACTTTACATACTGCAAGCTTCAAGTAACTTTACATGAGAAAATTCATTTTAGGGTGGTGTATTATCGTGAATTGTATTTATAATCTGTCCTTGATTTCTTTTTACAGTCCTCATCATTTGAAGGAGATGAAGAAGGATACAGAAAAAGACCTCCTGATTCAGAAAGTATCCTTGTATTGATGACTTCAATAAAGTATAAAGGCTGACCTAGGAAGTTATGATCACTGTAGTAATATGGATGGAACTTCCTCCCTGTTTTCGTCTACATAGTTTATTATGCGGAAAAATAGAACATGTTCACTTGACTAGAGCAATGAACAAGTGATAAGTGACACGTTTTCGATTCAAGAAACGAAAGAAGTACTCAAACAAATTTCTCTTTTGGGCGTATCCTTAATCTATTTTGAGGTCATTAACACTATTATTTACGCAACATTGAGGCACTCAAACCGTCAAAAATTATGAATAGAGACAGAAATAGCCATACGAGTGACAAACAAAAGCGGTAGTGACGTCACTTTTTGACGTCATCTGGAGATACATTAACTGATCCCAGCATAATTAAAAAATGTTTTTAATATTTAATCAGACATGGAGAAAAATAAACAGAAGCCTTCAAAAACCCTGGAATCATTTGAGGTTAAATAAATAACCACGACTGGAGTTCCTTTTGGCAATTTGAGAATTTCCAGGAGTCCTTCACTTTACAATATGACAAATATCCGGATACCATAAATTCTAGAAAAGGTTTTTGGGGCAAACTTTGATAATCAATGTATTTCACTCTATTCTCAAATGCTTTCGCACGAAATTAAAAACGACAAAAATTAGAGAGGTAAACCCATATTACAGAATGAATAAACAATTGAATACTTTTTCGTTTCGTGGAGTTCTATGTTAAAAACAAATTCCAGCTGAAATTAATTTCCAGGCGGTTAGTTTTTTGCATAAAGAGCGGTTTAATTCTGCTTTGTTTTTAGAAAGTTTTACTTTTGACCGACGTTTTACCCTCCTAAACTGGCCTTTAAAAAAGCACAAGTTAATTCAGATCAGTATTGGTTCAGAAGTAGTTATGATGGAGGATATAAATCTGGTATTTCCCCCGTAAACTCGTGTTCCTCCAGATCATGGTAACTGTAGCTTTCCTTGTCTTTTCCTTGAACCAGAAACCTTGGATTTGACATCCGTTTTGTTCTTTGCCCCAGTCTCTTTCGTCTGATGCAGTATACGCTGACCGCTATGACAATTAATACTGCAACTACCACGAGGACTATAGTAACGGTTGAAACACCATGCTTTCCTGGATCCGAGCGAGCGCCCTGCAAACCTTTTCGGGAAAGGTAGAATCCATCATGTATGAATTATTTCATCCTCGGCTCCTATTCTATGCAGAACGTTAAAAAATTCTTTTTCCTGGATCAACTTGCTGTCAATCACGCTTATTATCTTTGCAAGGTATGACAGAGATAAAAAAAAGTTTTATTTATATCTCTCTGATCTACTTACGTTCAAATGTTCGCTTAGAATAGTTAATGTCGGTGTCATAAACAAAGAAGTCACCACCTCCTACGCTGTTATCTTGGACTGGACGAATTTATTTCGTTGATTGTTAAATTAACCCTGATACACAACACTTACCTTTTGATTTTGTCATCGTTAAGTTTACATTGGCACTTGTTGTGGCTGCTGTAGCTGCTCTGCTCGTCTTTTCTTTAATAGAACGTTCAGTAAAGAGAACATTCAGTAAAAAACGCTGTGATTTCTATTGGCACAATTTCTGTCTTACCCTGCGCGCGTCTGTGTGAACAGGCTGACGCATCTGCGGTAGCTGTTCAACCGTCCAAGATCTTATAAATTGCAACACTTCCCTCTAACTGCTTTACATTTACTTGTATATAAGTAAAGAGAATATGATGCTACATCAAGAAAGTACGTTCTAATCGATGAGCTTGTCTATTCTCAATAAATGTTTGTTGGATAATTTATTGATACATGTGTATCGTGTAGAGAAGATACCTGTTGATCACGTCTGAGATTTAAAGGGTCAATCATCGTAAGATGTAAATTTTGGGGAGCTGCAAAATACAGGGGCACCAATTGTACGGAAGTGGATAGCGAAACGTTCTAAGAACTGAAGAAGACGGCAAAGAGCGTATCGAAGTTAACTTAATATCTTTATTTTGGGTTCACATGATCCTAACAGTTTATATTCCTCTGCGGTTTCTCGATATTAATCTAAGATTATTATCATTATGCTAGCCAGGGCTACATGCAAAGTTGTTACCTGAAGTTGTCGGTTGACTTGTTTTCACAGGAATTGTTATGGGCCGTGTTGGTACAGAAGCAGCATTGTAAGCTATAAAACGTAATCATGAGATCACATTATCATTATAACATTTTTCTTTAAAACAGATTAGTTTTCAATTCATCTACAGCATTTCAAAATATTACAAGGCCATATTTGCTAATAACATCAG